GATAAACTAATTAAATAAAACAAACCCAGACCTGTAGGACAGAATTTCTGAGGGCGAGACTTTAGAAGATAATATTTAAAACAAACTGCCTTGGTTATTGTTCAGTATAAAATTACTTAGAAACACTGGGCTTTGCTTAAGCTGTTTCCTTGGCTAGAAGTATTCTTTCCTCTTCTGTGTGCCTATAAAATATTTTACACAGTTTTCTAGAGTTACTTCTTTCTAAAAGCCTTCCTAGATTCTTTGAATTAAGGATAATTTTATGTCCTCATTATTGCAGTTATTACAGAGTTTTGCTTATTTTCCACCTAGCAGAGTTCTAGAGAGCAGGAGATGCCAATTAATGCCAGTTACTCTCAACTATTGAATTGCCTAGCAAAGTATATATTTTTTTTGCCTAGCAAAATATTTTGCTTGTATGTTTTGCCAAGATGTAAGCTGTCCTGACTTTGCAAAGAACACAAATCTGTTTGTAGTACATATTAATAAGCTCAGGCTGATGGAGGGTAATAATAAACATGATCAACCTTGATCTGTTGTATGAGTGTTTGTATATGGTTGTGAGGAGTTTTTGTTTTTGTGATCCTTATTTTTTCTCTCTGATTCTCTTCTTGTAAGTTGACAAATTTCCCAATGACCAAGTTCATGAAAATGCACCAGTTGTATTCTGAGGTAGTTTTACTTTTAGTAAATAAATTTGCTGGCTCATCTCACTGAAGCAGCAGCTTTTGTGATATACCATCCTGTTTGTCATCTGGGAGGCTAAGACAGAGAGGCTGAAGCACTTGCATGGGGCTCCCCTGATGTCCTATGTGATGTCCTATGTGGAGAGAACTGTGAGGAGGAAGGTTGACAACTAGCTCTACTGACCACTAAGATGCTTTCTCCAGAAGTGCGTTGCCCCATCCATGTTTTAGACATTTTTGTGAGTTTAGATGACTTAATCCTGTCCTGTTTCTCTCTTACCAGTTTATGATATTGCCTAGACCATTAGCAATAGAAGGTGATGTACATGCGAGAACTATTAGTTTTCTAATAGTGGATTGGAGAGGCATGTAATAACCAAGAATGATAGCACACACATTTTTGGATTTTATGCAATTGTTAAATCACTGTTCCTTTGGTGTATTTATTGAATACTTGAAGTCATATCAGATGACAAGATTAAGTTGAGAGAGACACATCATTGGATTAGGCAGGTGAAGTCAGGTTTCCAGAATAGAGTGTGCTGGAAGAGAGCAGGACCTGTGGTGAAGCAGGACGATCTCCATAGCTGGAGAGAGTCGTGCTGTCAGTGATACGGTCTGACCTTAGGATGGTTGGGGAAGCTTTTTGACTTAGGCTGAGGAAGACATGTCCCCTGTGGTACTTTTTCTAAAGGCTTGAAGGCTACAAAGTGGCTGCAAAGAAGGCTACAAAGCTAATGAAAAAAGATGGAAAAAAAATAGAATTTGAGGAGAGGAGTTTTTTTTTTTTCTTTGTGATAAGGGCATATTTTGTGACAATTGGATAGAAATGGTGACAAGGTAATAAAGTAGAGTGGTCCTGGAGGAAGGGAGGGAGTGTGTATGAACCTCTCTGAAAGGAATGTACTGTACCTTGGTCATTGTCTCATCTGGGTTAAATACGGGTTTATTAAAAACCTGAGACTGTAAACCTAAATTCCAAGGAAGTGCCTCGTGCTCCTTCCACCCAATCTCCAATGGCTATTCCTGTAGCCTTGTCTTTTCAGGGTACTCTGGCAACTGACTAGCACAGTGTTGAAAAGAATAGCTGCCCTATGTTTTTCCTCTCTCTTTCTTTTCTTCTGCCAGTCCTGGGGCTTGAATCCAGGGACTGGGCGCTGTCCCTGAGCTGCTTTTGCTCAAGGCTCGCGCTCTACCACTAAAGCCACAGTGCCACTTCCAGCTTTTTCTGTGTATATGGTGCTGAGGAATTGAACCCAGGACTTCATGCATTCTAGGCAAGCACTGCAGCACGAAGCCACATTCCTAGCCCCTATGTAAATTTAAGTGCATTTTCAATATAGAAAGCCCTATTAGAATACCTTGAAAAGAATAAAATGGAGAATAGACTGAGAAGATGGATATAGAGCAAAAATGAATTAGTAACCTAGAGAGATGTGATCAGGAAGTGGCCTTGCCTTACTGTTTTCTTTTCATCCTGGCCTTCTTCCCTCTCCAACGTTTTCCCATTCCCTTTACTTCCCTGGGAATGGATGGGCAAGGACACACACAGACACACACACGCACGCACACACGCGCACACACACACACAAACACACACACACACATATCTATTTTCTTGGCATAGCATTCCATATTTTCTGCTACTGAACTCTGTAGGTGATGCTCAATATCAAAGGAACTTGAGCAAAGTCTGCCCATGCTTATCAGATTCTGATTTAGCTGTAGTTGAGGGGTGTCAGTCAAATGACACTCCGTGCTACTGGGACTTGATGAAATCTGGAGCTATTATACTCATGTTTTAAGTGAAGATTTACTTTGCAAAATTTCCCTTTCTGTATTACCTTCCTTCCTACTGACAAAGTAAAAGAAGTAAAAATGGCAGGATTGGGTTGGAAGTATGCATGGCTTAAGTGGTAGAGTGCCTGCCTCTCAAGCATGCATGCCTAGTTAAACTTCCAGAAGGCCCTCTCCTCTCCTGAAAAGGAGAGGATCAAAAATAATCTTTTAACAACCGAAACTAGAATTTTTAGGTATAAAATATTGGCAATCATGTATGTTCGCAGTTCACATGCTTTTAGTTTTTAGTGTGTTGATTTATTTTTGAAAATCAAATTATATTGTAAGTCATCCTTCAGTATCCTCAGGGAATTGGTTCCAGGACCCTCTGCTGATACCAAAATCCGCAGATACCCAGATCTCTTTCAGCAAATGGCATAATACTGGCATTTATCTGTGAATATCCTCCCATCTATATTATGCCTAAGTGTCTTGTAATACTTTATCCAATGTAAATGTTATGTAAGTAGTTGTTACACTGAATTGTTTATGGAATAATGACAGTGGGAAAACATTTGTAAGTGTTCAATAGACACAATTTTTTCTGAATATTTTTGGTCTGTAGTTGGTTGAAATATATGCAGAGCCCATAAAGGACTGAGTGTGTATGTATACATTCTCATATACACATCTCTGAGGTCTTCCTATTCTGATTAGAAATTAAATGACTTGTTTTCTTTGCTTTTTCTATAAATATGGTGGTATTCAAAAGAAAAAGGACATTTTTCTACCAAAGAGTAAATAGTAAACAGCGTTTCTTGGGATATTTATTAAGGGATATTTATTACATTCATCAATTATTATCTTAATTCAACCCTTGATATTCTGAAGATTAATGTTCTTCTCACTGGTGATATAATTTGTAGGGAGAAAAAAGGAGATGTAGCTGTATACCAAAGGTACTTAGAGGACAGAAAGCTTTTTGTTGCTGTTTATTCCTTTTCATACTGCTATTCTGTAATAACTATAGTTATACTACCATATCTTTAAATTCATTGGAGGCAATTATTCCTAAGACTGACCAAAATTTGCTGGAAGGAAACATATAGCCTTATTCCTATGTGACAGGCGCTGTGCTTCTTTAATTCCCAGTCATGTGACGTGAAAGTCATTGCTTTGTTTGCAGAGGGGGAATGCAAAAGCTTCTGAAGAAGCTGTAGAACATGTCAAAGTCATACCTCTTGTGGGCTTTGGGGCTGGGACTTCAGCATGGGTTTGTGTGTCTTTCATATCCTTATGCTGAGTGTAGTAACTCCTGTTTTCAGTCTGTAACACATTACTGTGTGTCTTTAACCCATGATTTAAGATACCAGAAAGAGAGTCTCCAGAATCTCCCCTCCGCTCCCCTTTGTCTTCAGTAAATATGAGGCTGACTAGAAAAGAAAGAAGGCTTGAGCATGAAGGCAAGATTTACCTTATTGGCTATTGCACCCACAGGCCATGCATAGCACATAGTAGGAACTCAATAAATATACGCTGAATGAAAGATGTAAATGAGAAATAGTGGCTAATTAGAAAGACTAAAGTGTAACAAGGACAAAAAAGTTAAAAAACACAGCTATTTGGATAATTTAGTGTTTCCATAAACGATTGTATACCTCAGTAGCCCCCTAAGGAATGAAGAACCTTCTAGTATACTCATACATATCCAAATGATGGCCTGGGGCTGCTGAACGACTAAGGTGTGACTTACCCCTTTGTAACAGGGAGAAGGTTAGCCAGTGTAAAAGCCAGATAGTACTAACCTATTTTAGAAGGCTTCTATTTAATAAAAAAATTTGGTCCCTTTTTTCCCCTGTAAAGTATGCTGAAGGGGTAGACATCATTGTCTTAGAAACACCTATGTAGGCTCGGTTTTTGCTTAATGATTTGGATACAGAGACTGATACTTGTCTTAATTATTTCTTTTTCCCTAATAAGTTTAACATTAAAATTTCATGCCACATGAGCTTTAAATTAAATTATATTCTTTGGAAGATACCTTATAAAAATTGACTATGGTATATAGCATAAACAGTTTGAATACTATAAAATGAATCGATTGCATAAAATAACAAAACATATTTTGAGTAATGTCACCTAAAAGATTTATGCTGGGTGCTGGTGGCTCATGTCTGGATTGTGGTTTGAAGCTAGCCTGGGCAGGACAGTCAGTAAGATTACAATGAAGAACCAAAAGAGCCAGAAATAGAGCTTTGGCTCAAGTGGTAGAGCACTAGCTTTATGCAAAAGAAGCTCAGTGATAATACCCAGACCCTGGTTCAAGTCCCAGGACTAGCACCAAAAACAAAAAACAAAAAGTTATGGTGTGTTGAAATAACTCATGTTTGAGCATTATGTAGCTTGTTATAAGGAAAAGTTGAGAGAATTATAGGAAACTATCAAAATGGTTTAAATTTCATTATTCAACAGCATCGATGCGCTACTTTCTTGTGTCAAGAATGTATCTATTAACAGTGATATTTTGCCTTACAGCTTTTCTGGGAGAAGAGGCTACAAGGACTTAGTGCATCAGATGTAACAGAACAAATTATAAAAACCATGGAACTACCTAAAGGTCTTCAAGGTATTATTTAAGTTTAGTTGAGCAGATATTTATTAAGTACCTACTGTGTGCCAAGCTTGAGTCTGTGGATTCAGAATTGACTCATGGCCATGTTTCTTGCTGGTTGATGCACCTCTTGTAGTGAAGGGAAAATGAACATGGCAGTTCTACATGGTGTAGGGTTACTTCCATGAACATATTACTGCACATTTTCTTTTTTAATGCTTGAAACCTTTGGCTCAAGGATAGGTTCATTGTGTGCTTGTGCTGCCTGTCTGTGCTGCATAAGTTTCTCAAGCTTCTTGATTACAGTAGCCTCCAGCCCCAACATTTACTCTTTCTCTTATCCTCTTACCAAAAGAACAGCTAACAGCTCTCTTTCTGTCATTCTCTCCACAAGCTGCTGCTGTACGTAGCAGAGGGAACTTGCACTTTGGTCCCTAACAGCTAATGGGATCTGCCAATCACATGATAACTCCAAGTTCTAAGGAAGCATTACTTTTCTGTTGTTACAACTTTGCCTTCTAAATCTTGATGTATCCTACATTGATCAAGAGCCTTATAATTTATAGTTGGGCTATTGTTTCATTGCTTCATCTTCTTGAAAATTACTGCTTTAACTAAGTAAGTTTAGAACTTTAAAACAGTTCACTTAGATTTTGCCATGATGCTGGTTTTCTACAAATAGTCAAGATGTGCAAGTGTTTACTCTATAAGTCTGAAAAGGCTGGTGAAGCTGCAGGAGTAGTATGCTTTACTGCCTTTTTCTTTCAAGTTCTGAAACAAAACAATCATTGAAGCATTGCTGGAAATTAATGTCCAAAATACAAGGTGAAACTATTATAGGATTTATTATTTGGGATACTTGTTATAATATAGTGCCTTTATAATGGATTCAGATTATTTAAATAGTTTTCACTATTTTGAGGAAATGTGGCTGACTTTTCCAAAGTTTAGTCACTTTGGAAAATGTATTGAAAAGTTTAATTTAAAACACAATTCTTTTGTTACTGTTATTTTAATATTCCTTGTTAGTGTACTTACTACTCATTAGGTGGACATTTATTGTTCTTTGTTGCTTTGGCTTATGTGCATTTTAAATAGGTGATCCCACTGAACACAACTACCGGTTGTGTCATGTGGGGTTTGCTCAGCATAGTGGGAATCTTCCACTCAGTGGTGCTTCTTTCTTGTTGCAGGAGTTGGTCCAGGGAGTAATGATGAGACCCTTTTATCTGCTGTTGCCAGTGCTTTGCACACAAGCTCCGCACCAATCACAGGACAAATCTCCCCAGCTGTAGAAAAGAACCCTGCTGTTTGGCTAAACACATCTCAGCCCCTCTGCAAAGCTTTCATTGTCACAGATGAAGACATTAGGTAAAGTACTTTACCTTGACTTGGAAAACTTGGTTTTTGCTTGTGGATAAATATTCTACTGCACATGAGACTTAGCTCCATTAGTTGAACATCCCTTCTTTGAAAAGTTAAATCCAAAATGCTACAAAAGCTGAGCTCCAAAACAATGATACAAGTGAAAAATTTGTACTATAAAGCTTTGTTTTAGGTATTAAATTTAGGTATTTTAAAATGGTGTATTAAATTATCTCCAGTCCGTGATTTACATGAAACAAGTGAAGTTTGTATTTGGATTAGGTCTCATCTCCAAGATACCTTATGATGCATACATCTATCCTCTAAAAGTCGAACTAGTGGCAAGTGGTAATGGACTTTTGTAACAAAGATATGCTCAAAAAAGATGGACAGTGCTGCACATCAGAGACATCATTACAAGAGCATCTATTGCCAGATCAATTATGTTTGCTACACTTCATTTTTGCAGTGTTTTTTTTTTTTTTGCTAATTTGGCCTTCTGAACTTCTGGCCTAACCAGACTTATCAGGTCTTTATGTATGTTCTTTTTGTTTTCGCTTTTGTTTTTCTTTCTTGAGATTGAACCCAAGGCCCCCACATGTAAGGCAAGCACTATGAAGCTGGCCTACATCTTCAGCCTTTTCTTCATGCCTTTTATAATTGCTTCATGTACATTTGTTTGTCTACAAACCAACTCTCCTTAAAGGAGATGATGGCCATAACCATACTCCTTTAAGCTCAGTTGTATTTTCAGAGGTCAGTTTAGTTCTCCTCATTATGTTTACTTCTCTTGAGCTCAATTTAGAGATTGATCTGTACTTCACTTTGTTCCAAGGAAAAGTATAATGTAGTTACTAAGTTAAACATACATATTTATACACACACACATACACAATTATACAAGGTGAGAAACAAATGAAAAAGAGCTAAGGGTAAAGCTGTAAAACAGTTAGGATAAGAAAGGATATAAGCAACATGTATTAGCATGTATTAACATCTTTTATTTCTTCTAATGCTGGGCCACAATTTAGGTTTTTAACAGCAAATAAACAGTAAAAGGAAAACATCTGGCTCAGATGGTAGAATCTTGAAAATGTTCTGGATAGTAAGACCACAGAGAAATTCTTGTTAGGATTTATGAACCTCAGTACTAGAGTACTATTCCTAGTAGAAACCAGTAGATGGCACTTTTGAATCATAATTAAAAATAAAATTTGTATTCTGTTCTAAACCTATAAATAGTTGATATAAAATGTTTCTAAATGCACAAGTCTATCTAGATTTATAATTAGAAAGCTTCTCTTGGGTTTTAAAGTAATTCCTTTTGCAAAGGTATAAATGAGTTCAAAGTTGTATTCATATGCTTTGATTGCATGAGATGTATGATCTGCAGTTTTGGAAAAATTAGAATAACAAAATGAAAAGTCAAATGATCTTGCTTTTTGGGCTTATTCTTATTTTTGAGGAAGAAAATTACATGGGAATCAAGTGCTTTTCTGTCTTGGGATGAGCACAGAGTGAGCAGTAGGGACTCCACAGGTTGTTACTGGGTTGATACCCTGGGCATGCCAGGGCTGCCACAGATCTTTTGACAGTAGAGGGAATTATCAAAAGCCAGCTCTGGACTATTTCCTGTTTTGGTAAAGTTCCCTAACAAATTATTCATTTGATTTAATCATTTGAGCAGAAATTATTAAGCAGATATTCCTTCTTGAATTAATGTGGGTTCCAAATAACTGACTGCAGATGAAATTATGATGCTTCCTCTCATTATGTAGTCAATATGCTGATTTCTTGCAAACCTCTGATCAAAGATAGCATTCTTGCACAGGGGCCATGCCATCCTCCTGTGCTCCATTTTATCTTATGTGCTGCCAGAATGAACACCCACCTGAAGATTCCAAATTTACGTATATGTATTTTCGGCAAAGTCGATATTTTCATCCATGGGTAATTTGTTTTCTAATAGTTTATAACAGGTTCTCACAAGCGTTACAGCCATCTGTGAACTTGCAGTCCAGATCAGCAATCTCCAGGTTCTCTGCTCCCGTCTCCCAAGACTGAAATCAAAGTTGGAGACTGTGTTGCCTTCAGGAGCTTGGGATTTTCTTTCGAGCTTGTATACTTGTTCATTCTTGTGGTTGTTAGGCTGAAACCTCTGTTCTTTGATTGGCCATGGGAAAGGGGCTGCTTTCAGCTCTAAAGGTGGCCTGCATTCCTTGTCCTCTGGTCCCTGCATGTGCTCCTACAGAGGCGTTTCATTTTTACTAGAGAAAATTAATTGTACAAAGCGGTGTTTTTCATTTTGATCTGTCATACATATGATGTACTTGGATCAGATTCACCCTTTCTGTTCTTTCTTTCTTAATCCCTTTCTCTCCACCTTTAAAAAAAAAGTTTTTTTCATTATGCCATATTCACATCTATATGTAATGTGCTTTGTATCCATATGTATACTATACCGAGCTTTCTTTTTAATTAGCTCAAGATCAGTTGACCAGTAACCTAATCATGGAATGATAGCCCATAATAGTTACCAGTTTCACTCACCTTTAAGGAGTAAAATTATGCAGAGTGTATACGAGGTGTATGGGGGTTCCTGGGGAACATCTTAGAGTTCTGCCTCCCATAGTGGCAAGCACTTAAATTTCAACATCCATAAACGTGGGAAGTAGTGCTCCAAAATTGGCAGTTAATTATGTTCAAGAAATAATATTCAATTAAAATCAATTATGAATCAAAATTAATATTGCTCAAGAAAATTAATTGTGGGTTTTAGGGTGTAAGATAAAGTGCCATTCGCTCCATTTGCCCTATCTTTCCTATAGGATTACTCCCAGCAACTGCGCCTTCTCTTGTTTTCTGCCAATGAGACATAAACTTTGGATCACTGGGCAAATGTTGTCTTTGTGACCCTACTCCATTATATAAAGGTCTGTTGAGTTTCTTTCTTTTATTATGACAGAAGATATAGAGCTCAGATTGACTTAGTAAATACTCCCTGCCTCTCAGCTTCCTGGCTTTGTTTTCAAAATTTATTTAAAATATAAAACAAATATTAGCTGTACAGTTTGAGGAGCCTGCAGGGACTAAACATACCGGGGGGGGGGGGGGGGGTAATAGAGTTTTCCAATCGTGGCTATGCTTCTTTCTGATGTCTCAGGTTCGGGCCGGGCTGGAGTCCGTCTTCCTCAGTGACTGGGAGAAAACTAGACTTCGTTTTCTTCCCGAGCCCTCAGTTTCCCTGTCACTGTGCTACTCCGCACTCTCCTCTACATCCATCCTCATCATCTTTCTTCTCTCGGAGGAGGGCCTCACCTGTTCTCTGTTTAAAGCTAGCCTTCCCATCTTTTTTTCTTCTTTATTGTTTTGGAGGGATTGGGCTTTCAACTCAGGGCCCCATAGTTGCTTAGTAAACGCTCTTCCACTTGAGTCACTTAGCTTTTTTTGTAGTTGTTGGTCATGGGGCTTGAACTCAGGGTCTGGGCACTGACCCTGAACTCTTTTGCTCAAGGCTAGAGCTCTACATTGGGTTTTTCCAGTGTTCTGGTGGTTAATTGGAGATAAGAGTCTCATGGACTTTCCTGCCTGGGCTGGCTTTGAACTGCCATCCTCAGATGTCAGCCTCGTGAGTAGCTAGGATTACAGGCGTGAGCTGCCAGTGCAGGCACGCACTCACCTTTTTGGTTTAGGAGACGGTGTCTCACACTTGGCTGTGATCTTTACCTCTCTGCCTCCTGGATAGCCGGATGACAGATACAAGCCTCCACATGCCAGTGTTCTTCCTGCTTGTGCTTCTCTAGTTGGCTCTGGGTGTAAATTCTGTCTTGCCCTTTCAGGGAGCTAGTCTCAGTTTTTTTTCTTTGCTTTTAAAAGGTGAAATATGGACCGGCAGCTCTTCTTCCTGGGTTTTATTTTCTGTCTGATGGTTTGGAGCCTTTATTAGTACGTTCACCTTCCTGGTCCTGGTAGTCAAGAGTTGACCTGGTATCTCGAATGGCTTTGCTTATCTCAGTTGAATAGATGCTTTTTGGTTTCTCTGTTCAGTTCAGAAGTTCATGTAGTTGTGGCTCTTCTGTGCTAACCTGTTGTCTACAGACACGGGAGCTCAGGAATTCTCCCTCCTAACAAAGTCATGAAGAGCCAGACCTCCTCCCAGCACGCCCTGCCTCTCTCTCAGACCTCCTCCCAGCACGCCCTGCCTCTCTCTCAGACCTCCTCCCAGCACGCCCTGCCTCTCTCTCAGACCTCCTCCCAGCACGCCCTGCCTCTCTCTCAGACCTCCTCCCAGCACGCCCTGCCTCTCTCTCAGACCTCCTCCCAGCACGCCCTGCCTCTCTCTCAGACCTCCTCCCAGCACGCCCTGTCTGTCTCAGTGCCTCACCAGAGAAGGTGCTTCTCCCTCAGTTGCCCTCTGACCTCTCTCGTGTTCCTGTTTTCAGGTGATGTCTAATTGTTCTGTATAGCAATAAAGGCAAACCTTCACATGCTTGGAACTTTGCAAGTTCAGGAAGAAGTTACTGAAAGAAAACTACTGCTTCCAGAATTCTCTGTGAGACAAGGGATAATTGTCTGAGACCATCCTTTTCTTTTTTAGGAGAAAATCTGTTTTAAGTAATTTCGTGACTTATTTTAGTGAGGATGAACTCTTGTTGCAGTTTTGAGCACTGGAGGCATGGCTTAAGTGGTAGAGCACATGCCCAGCAGGTACAAGGCCTGAGTTCACATGCAAGTATGGCAAAAGGGAAAACCAACAAGATAAAGAGAAACCTCAGTGTAAGAGAAGATGTAGTAGTTCCTTATTTTCATTACTTGTCAGATTGTCAAGGTTTTTTTCTTCTACTTTTGAAAAGGAAACAGGAAGAACGAGTACAACAAGTCCGCAAGAAATTGGAAGAGGCGCTGATGGCAGACATCCTGTCCAGGGCTGCTGATACAGAAGAGATGGAGATTGAAATGGACAGTGGAGATGAAGCCTAATGTGTGATCAGGTAAACAAACACCAGACCCAGAAGCAGGTGGCTCTTATGCTGTTTATTTTCTTGTTGTTTTCCCTTCCCAGCCTCCTCAGCAGAGAATACAAAGCTGCGCCTCTGCATAGTTACACATGTGCTAATTCTCCCATTTGAATTTAGAGCCATATAAATTATTTTTATCTGTTTGTTCTTACTCAGTGAGGACATTTGACCCCCAGGTTAAACATGCACCAGGTGTTAGAGTGAAGCAGGAGGAAAACAGGACCCAATCAGGTGGGAGGAAAGGTTAACCTGAACTGCATTGTGTCCCCTTTAGAATTATGCTTGCAACATAGACAGAATTCTTCCCTTATTGTATGCTCTTCCTTCCATATATCCAGTATTAAAAAAACACTCAGGAAAGACACTGACATATGTAATATGTAATTTTCCCTAACACTACAAATTTTGGCCCTAAAACCACTAATGAGCTACAAGTACAACCGTGGGTTTTTTGTTTTTTGTTTTTGTTGTTACATGATTTCTCACAGCTTCAGTGTGGCAACCTGTTTCCCAAATTCCATCCTGCATCTTGGCAGGCTATTTAGTTCCCTTTGAAGTCAAAACTGAGGAGAGGCAAGGGGTAGCTCACATGACGTGAAGGTTGAACAAAGCCTTTCCAAGGAAGTGACATTTACCTTGGGCCTGACAAATGTGTGGAAATGAGTCAGGCAAAGCATAGTCTCATTAGAAGGTGTAGCACAGAGAAACCTGGTTTATTTCAGAGCAAAGCAAAAGTCACTGCAGTAGACTATGTGTGAGGAAGGTGGGGCATGCCGTGTGGCAGCACACCTACTCCTGGGGAGCCCCGGGGTCATGACTAAGGACTCTGAGCTCAGTCATTAAAACTAGTGGAAAATATGGAAGGGCCAGTGGCGTGCTGAGGTTTGCTTATGTACACAATCCTCTGTCTTAAGACGGCACCGGTGGCTCATGCCTGTAATTCTCACTACTCAGGAGACTGACACCTGTAGGGTGATGGTTCAAGACCAGCCTGGCCATAAAAGTCTTCTAGACTCTATTTCCAAACTAATCTCCTTAGAGCAGGACTAGAAGCATGGCTCAAATGTATAGGGCCAAGCAAGCAAGCTCAAGACCCCGAGTTCAAACCCTGGTATTGTACCCTCTCTTAAAAATAAATCCTTCCAGCTACTGTAGGAAAAATGCACTGGAGTAGAGAAAGCTCTGAATCAGGGAGATGAGTTGGGAGGTGGATGTGTCCAGCAGAGGTGGTGGTGTTTTTCATGAAACTGGTGTTAGTGGGTAGGGAAAAGAGGAGGCAAGTGCAGATCTGAGATGTATTTTGAGGTAGAGGTAACTTGACCTGTGGCTGATTGGATGTGGGCTTGAGAGGATGGCAAGGCAGAGTCAGGTTTGCCTGGAGCTCAAGGCTGACAAGAGTGAGTTCTGTTGGGTAGAGGCACAGACTGAGTGCCAGGATGACGAGTTTAATTGATGTCACCTTTTCCATGGCCTCCTTAATTCAGGAGTGGCTCATGCCATAGTGTCATCGATTTTTATTCACCTGCCCACGACCTGCAATGCTATTCCATCACATAGATTTTTGACCTCACAGAACCCGTTACGTGTAGTTCAGTCTGAGTTTTGAGACTGCTTTTGTTTCCACAGTGAGGACAGGAAGACACTGTTGGCATCCTGAACTGTTTTCCAAGCTAGCAAGGATGTGCTGTGTGAGTTTCGATGAGTGTCATTTAGTTTGTGTTTGATGTCTACCAGAGAGAGACGTGAGGCTTCTTTCTTTTAGCCATGCTGCTTCTGGAGCCATGAGGCAGTGTGCTTTATGGAAGCCTCCGTGCCTGGCTCTGCCCTACGCATCAGAAGGGGCCAGGAAGGCACTCCTCTTCCGTAGCTTTTAGTTTCTTGAGACTTTTCTCCGGAAATCACTTTGGGATTAACAAGGGACTATCCAGTTGAAGTGTAGCTGGGCCTGAACTTCTGCAGATTACCTTGCATGTTGCTATCAAGTTAACACTACACAAGTTAACTTCTATACACAAATGTGTTCTAGGCACTTCACACTTACAGACACTAGCCACTATCTGTTCATTGCCTTGCACATGGGTTCATGGCAATAATAATAAACTCGTTATTGTAAATGATTGAGTTTTAATTGGTTCTTTATAAAAAGTAGCTGTTATTTCAGGTGCTAGTGGCTCACACCTGTAATCTTAACTATTCAGGAGACTGAGACCTGAGGGATCATGGTTTGAAACCAGCCCAAGCAGGAATATCTGTGAGATTCCATGTTCAATTAACAAGCAAAAAGCTGAACTAGATGCATGGCTCAAGTGGTAGCGTACCAAACATAAGCAAGAAGAAACAGGAGCCAGGAGTATGAGGCTCTGAGTTTAAGCTCTGTTCACACACACACACACACACACACAGACACACACACACTCACACTCACAAAGTGGCTGTTATTTGGGCTTAAGTTGTGTCTCATATCCTAAACTTGAGAGTGGCATGATTAGAGCATGATATAATTAAACTTGTAGGTTTTGAAATGCTAAGAAGTACTTCTTAGTTATTAGAGTTCATTTACTCAACTCGTTTAGCCTCATCTGCACCTTAAATGCTTAAGAAAATGGAGCCTGGCCACATGACTTAATTTATATTCATAATGTGTAGAATAGGTAGACTTTTAACTTGCCAAAGGGTGGGACATGGCCAACTTCTGAGGTTCTTAAGAGAGGGACCCTGAGTCTTCTAACTTAAAATTCTCTTCAGGTCTGTCAGTCTCATTTTGTCATGGTTCTTTCTCACAATGTCACTTATTAACAAAGTGGACCTGCATTTGTTTGTTTAGCTAGTTTAATAACAAGTTAATACTGCGTTGCTTAAATTTTACAGTCATGGGAACATGCCTTCGGATCATTTTAGGAATGCTTGCCAAGAAGTAGGTAACTAAGGAAACAAAGTTGTTAAAATATTTAGCTGCGAATGGGATATATCACAGGTATATTGCACAGGGCCATTTCAATCAGGATCAACACTAAGACTCAGTACATACCCATCATGTTCAAATGCTTTAAAAAAAATCAGTACAGATTGATATAAATAGATTATTGATTTAAGGAGAAATTTTCTCCAAATGTGTTTGGTAATTATGCTTTTTTTTTGTATGCTCTCTGAGTCTTTTGTTACACTGATTTAGTTAATTGTAGACAGGAAATATTTACCTAAATATACAAAGTGTAATATGAGTTCTTTGAAAATTAAATGGGGATTAAAGATTTTCAAAATACTTGGAACAATGAAGGAATATATTGAGGCCTTTTTTGATGTATGAATTTATTGAAATTTTACATACAAAGTATTATAACTGCTTAATCAAGATTTAAAAAACATATCTAAATGAAATGTAGCTTCTGATTACTTTTTCATACTTTGCTGACTTCTCACTTTAAATTTGTTTGTTTTTTTCCTTACAGGTTACTTTCGACTGACTTTCCCCAAGAGAAAATTCCTAGAAATTGAATAAAAATGTTTCCACTGGGTTTGCCTGTAAGAAAAAAATGTACCCGAGCACATAGAGCTTTTTAATAGCACTAACCAATGCCTTTTTAGATGTATTTTTGATGTATATATCTATTATTCAAAAAATGATGTTTATTTTGAGTCCTAGGACTTAAAATTAGTCTTTTGTAATATCAAGCAGGACCCTTAAGAGGAAGCAGAGCTTTTGATGCCAGGTGCAATCTACTGGAAATGTAGCACTTAAATGAAAGATTTGTCCCCCCGCCCCAGTTTTAATATAAACAGATCAGGAGTACCAAATAAATTCCCCAATTAAAGATTATTATGACTTCACTGTATATAAACAGATTTTTATACTTTATTGAAAGAGGACACCTGTACATTCTTCCATCATCACTGTAAAGACAAATAAATGATTATATTCACAGATTGATTGGATTCTTTCTGTTAAAAAGCACACACAGTGAGTAGCCCTGATACACATTGAACATTTTGATCCTGGGCCTTCCATTGGAGTCAGAGGTGGTGGAGAAGAGCTCACAGCTTTGCAGTGTGTCTCTGGACAGCATGGGAACTGTGCTTTCACCAGGAGTGTGACATTGTCACCAGGCATGTGCAGTTTTTTTTTTCTTTCCTCTAACAACTACTTTGATAATTTTGTAAAAGCAAGACCCTTTCTCCCCTGTGGCATGAATTATGTGCACAGATACCCTTTAGGTGTCACTTGAAGTCCACGTTTGTCATTTTGTTAGAGTGTTTTGCACTTTTTCATAACCACTAGCTTGTTACTAAGTTAACAGGTGCAGGACAGACCCCTCACCGTGGTGACAGAGTTGCTTAACGAATCAGATTGTAGTACCTTACTAATCCATATCCAATCTTCAAAACACTAACATTGCTTTCTGTTAAAGCTCTCACAAGACTAACTTTATTACCATTTTGTGATACCTAAATGCTAAAGGTGGCATTACATTATTCAATGAGTGTTAAAATGAACACAATCTGTCAACAAGACAGGAGGGATGGTTATAGGCAAGTGCAAGCAATTGTAAGAAATGGAGCAAAAATATTGTCACTCTAGGGGAAAAGTTTTTGTACTTCAGATCTTGATTTCATTTAAAGTTAGACCCAGTAGAGCAGTTGCCTAGCATGTGTGAGGCCTTGGGCTCGATTTTTGGCACTGCAAAAAGAACAAAATCAAAAACAATTAGAGTTAAAATGATGTGGTCAAGTTATGTGTCCATGTCATGTGTACATTTAATTACCAGTACCTCCAGCTCTCTTCAATCCTAAAGAAGGGAGAGAGGAGGAGGGGGGTGGTCAAAGGAATATGACTGGCTAAGTTGGGGCTGTTGTGTTTCTGGATCCTTGTTATCAAACTGTATTAACATATCTTGGAATTCTCAGTTTTATATTCAGGTGATCGGCCATGTATTTCTGAGGAGTAGCCCTGTTGGTGGTTGGGCGGGCAGTCCTACTGTCTTTGGGAGGACTGTTGAAGGGGACAGGAAGCACAGTGCCCTTCTTTGGGCATGTCTGAAAGCCCCAAATGGGCTGGGCTTGTGGAGTGAATGTTGACCTCTTTTAAAGAGCTAGTATGACTAATTAGGATAGATATCCAAAGGACTTTTTTCCCTCCTCCCCAAGCCCTAGATTCTTCATTTTTAATTACCTTGGGGTGTTTTATCTTGGTGATCATATATTTTAGAGTATAATTTCAACTAGGGTAGATGTACTTTTATAAACAGATTTTTTTAAAAAAACTAAAATCACAACGTACACACTAGATTTTTCTTTTCTTGTATACTTTGCACAGGGAGAGAACAGAGTATGAAAGCCATTGAGTGGTGTCTTACGGGGGACCTTGCCATAGGCCCAGGGTTCTCCCAGTAGTATACCCCTAGGCTGTGTCTAAAATGAAAGTCAGCAAATCACTTTGCACAGCTTGTATTTCTCTACCTGGGTAAAAGCAAGTCAGTTGCTTCATTGTGCAAGGCGGAAGTCCAGGAGTGATTCTAGAGTCGTTTTTCCCTGTCAGTCTTGTTAGAACTACTGTACTAACCCTACTGTTGTCACCTGTGCATCCTCCCCAGCCCCCAGCCACTGACTTCAGCTTAACTTTTCCTCCCTCTGGTCTTTGAGTGGCTTCCCCTGTCCACTCCCCTTCACTCTCCGCTCCTCTCATATCATTACCAGAGTGATCCTCAAAACAGGGAAGTGTGAGCCTGTGTCTTCCCTGATCAAAATCTCTCGTTTATCTTTGTGTGAAGTTTTAAATTTCAAGGTTAAGCACTTTGAAATGAGAAGAACCGGGGTCTGAATCCTGGTTCTGGCCACTTGTGTGTGACTTGTCAGGTTACTGAATTCTCCGTGAGCCTGTTCCTCAGTGAAATATGAATGATAAAACCTACCTCATAGAGTTGTGAGGATTCCGAGTGATGCTGTTTGCCAAGTGTTTACACAGTGCCTGGCATAGTGGGTGTGCAAATGGGGACCGCTGGAGTTGTCATCCCTGTGTGTCTGTTTTAGGTTGCTTCCGAGAGTTGTTTATTGTTACCCCGACCCTCAGACCACGTTATTTTCAGCACCCTGTATGTTTTCTTTGTAACAGTTTCCTGAGTCTGTATGTTATTTATTTGTTGACTTTCTGCCTATTTCTCTTCTAGAATGTGCGCTCCACGAGGGCAAGGCTGTGTCTATTTTGTTCTATTAAAAGCCCCAGTGCTTAGCTTAGGGCCTGGAAGAGAGCATTCAGTGTTTGCAGAATAAATGGAAGAAGGGCCATAAGGCTCGTCCTGGCTTTAGAGCTGCCTGACTTGTGGAGCCTCATCCTCCTACTATTTTATCCCCATTGCAATCTGGCCTCAAGAAAACTTGCTTGCTCCTTTCAAGTTGCCCTGGGGCCTCTGTGTCTTCGCGCCTGTCGCTCCCTCTGCTTGCCTGTCTCCAAGGCGAGCTCTGCATCGCCGATGGAGTCTCAGCTCGGTGGCTACCTCCTCTGTGATATCCCTGACTTCTCCAAACAGCTGCTCTTTCCCTGTCATCCGGGCTCCCACTGCACTTTGTAAATACCTCTGTGGAAGCACTTTATTGTATCTGTATTGTAAACTTCGGCATGTCTGTGTCTCCTTTGATACTGGAAGCACCGTGAAAGCTAAGATTGCGTGTTGTCATCCTAACATCTCCAGGGCCTCACACAGTGCCGGCACATAATATATGTATTTGTCAAATGACTTTGTAATTGAACAGAGAGTCACGCAATTACACAACTGTTGGAAGATGTATTATCAAGAAAGTGCCCCTGTGGCATCCAGGCTTCTCCCCCTCCCCCTAAAGAGGATACCTAGCGAGCGTCATGGAATCATTTTGAATACAAGATTACTTGTTTAAATTTTCAAAGTAATATAAACTGAATAATATAGATCATAAATGACTGCAAAAGATATCAAAAGCTTTGTGATCTCTCAAATGCTATAAAACCCAAAATAAATATTTGCACTATTAATATTTCCATAGTAAATGCTATGAGAAAATGTACAGCAATAAATTTTGGAGCTTTAAAAATGTGTGTGTAAGTCATCTTCAGTGACTTAATCCACAAGAGACATCGCTAACCTGTGTTTCCTGCACACAAGGGGCTTCAGCTGGGGTACAGGGCCCCAGGGCTTTTAGAGGGGATCCATGGACCACTTTCATTGCTACTGAGACCACTATTCAGTCATTCTGCTGGGCTAGAGACAGGAAAGACAGCCATTCTTCTCTGGAGAATAAGGGGAGGGCTCCCATGCGCTCCCATGGTGCCCGCCCACCTCTAACCCATAGGCAGAGCTGCCCCGATTCTTCACTTCCTGCTGGCTTCCACTTACGGCACTCTTGTGACCCCCTATGTAAAATATACTTCCACGGCCTCACAGCACTCAGGAACTGTTTCCTGCAAGGGCCTGTCACTCGGTATGTGACATAGGCAGATACTGATGTTCATGTTGCTGAGAGAAAAAAAAAAAAAGCTCTTATATTTAGTGAATTTGGAGCTCCAGGTGCAGTTGCCATGACAGGGCCAGAACAAACTTTTGGGGGGCCTTATTCAAACGGCAGACCACTGCCTCCCCTTTTGCCAGGATTATCTGTGGGACTACCACTTAGGATATGGGCAACCAACCACTCTTCATGTCTCCGAAGGCTCAAGGGAAGACTTTTAACCTTGCCAGTTGCACAGTGACTTTCTCTCCCTTGGTACATGCATTTTTGTACTAATTATGTAGTCTTGTATGACAAGAGTATACATATACATATATATATAATTTCCTCTCCTGCTATTTATATAGCATTTTTATAGTTCACAGAACACTTTCACCACCATGGCTGTCATCTTTGGATTTTTTAACTCTCCAATAGTTACATATTTTATTCAAGAGTTAAGGAATCTAAAACTCAGATATATGAGCTGACTACTTCAACCTACTGTAAGCTGGAGGTCCTGTGTTTACATGACACCAAGTAACCTCTAACTCCAACCATTCACACTGGGCTAGGTACCTCTCTGTGACAGGGAGCTGTTTGGTTGCTCATATACAGGGTGGCTTACGGAGGGCAGTGTGGTCTTTACAGGAAACTTGTTTTTTTTTTTTTTGGAGGGGGTGGGGGAAGTAAATCGTCAAAGCTTTTCCAGTGAACTTGCCTAAGATTAGTGTGGCCAGATAAGCGAAATTGTGCAAGCAGCCACAGTGAAGAATCTAGAAAGGACCCGATGTCTATTTCACCAATTAGAAATTAGAATGAGTTACTGCAACAAGAAACGATCAGAAACAGTGGAGTTAAATCTTCCAAATTGAGAGACAACCGCCAGTTGGGAATGAGGAGGACTTTGAGTGGCTGTCTTTTTTCAGCATTAAACATGCATGCATTAATTTTGCAGTTACAAAAGAAAAGGAGCTATTGCCATTGGCTCACACCTGTAATCCTAGCTACTCAGGAGGCTGAGATCTGAGGATCGCAGTTTGAAGCCAGCCAGGGAAGAAGTCTGTGAGATTCTTCTCTATTTAACCACCAAGAAGCTAGAAGTGGAGCTGTGGCTCAAAAAAAGCTTGAACACAAAAACTCACAGACAATATCCAGGCCCTGAGTTCAAGCTCCAGGAATATACACCTCCCTACTCCCCCCCACCCCCCACCACCAAAAAAAAGGTAGAGCATAAGTTCCTTAATCAAAGAATGATGGGAACGATTCCTGTTTGAGATTTGAGAGTATTTGACCAAATAGTTTTTATCTCATCACATTAATTTTGAGTTATGTTATTGGGTACATAAGAAAACTGCATGTCTGTAATTTATAAATAGACCCATAAGACTGGCCACATGCTTTTTTGTTTGTGTGTTTCTGCTAGGCTTTGGGCATGAGCTCAGGGCCTCTAGCTCTCCTTCAGCTTTTTC